TGAACACAAAAGAAGATATTTTGAAGAATATGGGTAACCAAACAGTTGATGGTAGCCATTGACTTCCATAGTATGGAAAAAAATACAAATAATTTTTTTGTCAATATTTTTTGTCATCTTGTGTATATAGATAGAAGGATATATCAACTATTATTTGCCCATTTGAATGTTATTAGCTTTAACTGATAACTGTATGCTCTGTCAAAACTGCTAATATCATATTTGACAAATAGTAGCCGATATATCGGTAATGTTCATTTATTTATGCAAATGTAACTCATAATTAATTAGAATTATTTTTAACACTTTATGTATGCTACTGTAAAAAAGTTTGGTGTCAGTAAAATAAAAAAAAAAAATTCATTATTTTATTCACTGTATTCAAAGCAACAGTGAAAACGTTTATAATGTTATTAAAATATTTCTATTTTAAATAAATGTTGTTCTTTTTAACTTTCTATTTATCAAAATCCTGAAAGTATTACAGTTTCCAGAAAAATATGAAGCAGCACAACTGTTTTCAACATTGATAATAATCAGAAATGTTCTTGAGCACAAATCAGCATATTAGAATGCTTTCTGAAGGATCATGTGACACTGGAGAGTGAAGTAATGACCCAGCCATGGGAATTTTTATATTTGTTAATTGAAAATTGTAATTCACAATAATACTGTTTTTACTGTATTTTTGACTTCATCCAAAAACATAAAAAAAATCTTACTGGCCCTAAACTTTTGAACAGCTGTGCAATTATACACGCTGAAATCTGATTATTTAATTATTTTATATATTTTAAAAATTAGATTTTGAGACTATGCATCCATGATTTTGTTTTTTAAAATGATTATTACCCAAAACCCTTTGGGCTTTATTTTATAATATTTAATTATTAAATGGGTTATTATAACCCCAAACCCTTGATAAGGAGTTTAGGATGGTTCTATTTCATTGTCTTTAGTTGTTGGAGGCAATAAATGGAAATGAATGTGAAACCATGTTTAATACACCCATAATAAGAAGAATTTGTAATAAGAAGTTGTTTCAGAGGCAGAGCAAGTCAGACTTCAGAATGCTGTGCTCTGATAAATCATATCACCGAAATGAAAAAGAGGTCAGTTGCGATTTCTTGTTGACTTAAACATTCAAGACTCGCTTTGACAGAATGAAATGCAGCACTTACAGAGATGGATGGAGTGAGACTGAAAAACAGGTGGAATGGAAAAAGAGATCAAACTTACTTAGACTGATACGAGTGTGTATTAAAGCAGCATGGGTAAATCAGACCGTGAGTGTGTGTGTGTGTGTGTGTGAGAGAGAGAGTATACAAAGATAAGAAATCTCTGTCTGTTTTCTCTCACACACCGGAGGCCCCGACATGTGCGTCCGCTCACCGTTAACAGGCTGTCAGAGCGAGTCTCATTGCTGGGATGCTTTGAATCTATCACGTCTTAACTTAAGCGCAGTCGGGCACATTGTGTCCGCCAGCTCAAATCTGTGGGTTAAAGGGAGAGCGTGCTGTTTATCAGAGAGCTGCTATTTTTAAGAGCCGCGCATTGAGTCGTATCTCAGTGAGCTGTCAAGTGACGACAGCTTCTCCCTCCTCTTTCCCATCCCTCTCTCTCTCTGTCCGTCCATTCCCCCGTGTGGTAAATCACCGGCTCATCATACGTTCAGTGAAGAGTCAATACCCTCTGTACACAGAGATGCAGGGCTGAAAAAAGGAAGTGAGCATGTCTAAAGAGGAAGAATTAAACAGTGAATTCAACTGGAACAAACGATTTTAAAATGTGTGTGTCTGTATCTGTGTGTGTGTATGGACTAATGATAAGAGTCAAACATCAATTCCTTTGAGTATTGAATAAATGACCTCTTCATTGACCCCTTTCACACACACAAACACGCTTTATCACACATTTAAATGTACAAGCTCGCTGTACTAGATCTTAAAAATGAAAGTTACCTTGATTTCGTTCATTTTCTGCTGTTTATTTATAGTAGAAAGGGAAAAAGAATAAATAATACACTTACTTCTCAGAATGTAAATTAATAATTACAAATAAATAATTGCACAAATAACTACAAAGAATTGTGTTAGAAAGACTGAAATCGTATTTACTTGTTTATTTAGTCTTTGTTTTATTTAGAATTTCAGTGTAAATTTTCAGTGTTTTTAAGTTACATCAATTGTGTCAAATGTTGCATGGTTGTTGAATCATACAAGCATTAATTTATTATCTTTTTCATGGCCAATAACCAATAAATGGCCAATGTTATATCTTTATACTACTTAAAAAAAAAAAAAGAAGAAGGAAATTACACATGCAAGAACTAAAATTATTAGTATACTAGAAGTGAATAGTATGCACAGTATGAGAGATAAAATAAAACGTAGAATTAATAGTCTTTTATACTTTTACCCTAAATGTATACTGTTTGAAGAAAAAAAAAACCTTTATAATAATACAGTAGGGATCCCTGGGATGCTATAACCAGTTATGATACATTAAAAAAATATCCTAGTCTTTTATACTTTTACCCTAAATGTATACTGTTTGAAGAAAAAAAAAAACCTTTATAATAATACAGTAGGGATCCCTGGGATGCTATAACCAGTTATGATACATTAAAAAAATATCAAATTTAGGCCGATAACTGATATAGTGCTGATATGTCGCGAAATTCTTTTCTGTTTCACTTTAACACATTTAAATTTTTGAATATAATCTTGAAAAGGTGTGACAAAAGTGGGCCTGTTTTGTGCTCAGCTGGTTCACATATAAACTGTACACTTTAATTGCATTTTCTGCATTAATTGTGGAATGCATTTCAATATGGTAAAATGTCTTAAACAGACCAAGGGGCCGTGTAGAACTTTGTGAATGCCGTACATACTAATTCTGTGTAAATCCGCAGAGCTTTTCCACGCAGGCCTGGTGATCTGCTGTTTAGCAGCATGTGTCAAGGCCTTGTGTGTCATTTAGAAATAAAGATCGTCTCACTGGACGTCCATATTGTTATGGATATTCATACATACACAGGCTCCCATGTGCAATCAAATGATGCGCTCGTGTCGCACGCTCCTCGGATTTGATTGATGGATGAAGATAATGGCTCACAAACAAACTCTCCCTCCCCCAACCCACCCACCATGAATAAGGCAACACCTCTCTCGCTCTCTCGGAGCAGACAGCAGTGGGGAAGACATCTGACATTTATTCAATACCATCAGTAGCTCTGTAGTGGCACTGCTGAGAGAAGGAGGGAAAAATTATGATCGGCGGTTACTTAAGCTAAAAGCTACACGGTGTCAGACGGAGGCAGCACTTAAAGAAATCCACGAGTGGAGATTTCTCTTCGGGAGATGCTCTGTTTTTTTCTGGGCCCTTTCCGAAACGGTTCCTTGCGCACAGCCACACCGAGTTTTTTAATAAAAGCTCGAAGTGGAGGAATTCTCTCAGTTAATAACGCAGAACAAAAGCGACATTGTGAGGGTCGGACAGCATGTGTATTTGTGCGTATGCGTGCGAAAGAGACTGTGCCACATAGATCGGACTCTGTCGCTCTGAGCGCTTGACCTTTCTCTGGTGGCATCCCAGGAGTCGGCATTTTAGAAAAACACACCTTTGTTTACTGTCATTAGCCGATCTGAGGTCATCCGTTATGGTGGCCGCCTCGACAAAAGCAATTCAGAATTTAATCATCTAATTTAGGTAAAGAGACAGGCCTCTAATTTTCCTCAATTTCTTTAATATACTTGAGGTGGGTACTGTAGGTAAATAGAAAGCAGGGTTATACCAACACATAAACCCCAAAATCTCGATTGACCTTACTCACGGTTATCGCTTCCAAAAATGCAACCAGGAGAAAGTTAACCATGAAAATGATCACCATGAAAACAAACACTAAGATAAAGCACTTTCTTCTACTTTTATTTAATGGTGATTTACAGTCTATGCATATTGCCACCTACTGGCTGGTTGTGCAATAATTTTTAATGGTATCTTTTATTAGTTAATCTTTAATCAGGTTTTATTACTGTGAGCAAGAATTATATTGTTTGTTTGATGCTAAATATATAAATAGATTGAACTAAAAACAGTCTGTGCTTGCAAAGATATATAGCTGTGTAAGTTTAGCCATTTTACTTCCACATTTATTGTAAGGTGAGATGCATCACATTTATACTTTTATTATAAAAATACATTATATAATGTTCTGTTGCAACAATAAATAAATAAATTTGAATGTAAATGTGTGTGATGAGAATTCAATAAAACAAAATAGAGTAAAATAAATATTTTTATAAATATATTATATTTATAAGCATATACTGTATATATGAAGAGTTTATTTGCAAAAACTCAATTTATTTCAAATGTTCAAAAATCATGTTTTTTATTATGTTATTATGTTTTTATTGTGTTAGCTGTATTTTTAGTTATTTTTTACCTAATCAAAATAACCCAACTGCAGTTTGATTGAGATTAATTGGAATGCACAATGAAAAAACATGATTTTTGAAAAATGTTTAAAACGGAGTTATCTGGTTTTGCAAACGAACTCTTCATATATATATATATATATAGTGCAAATTATGTAAATTAAGTGTGTGCATGTACATACAGTACATACATACATACATACTGTGACGAGTCGGCTGCCTCCCCCTAATTATCAGCATCACCCCGTCCCTTAATCGCCGCCCTTCACCAGGCTCCCGACAGGATTGGGTGCGTGAGAGAGGAGGGGCGCTGAAATAGCCAGGGCTGGTGGCGTGTGATGAGGCACACCTGAACCGGATGGAGCCTCATCACCGCCGCTGTTTAAATGCCGAACGCGCCTCTCTTCGGGAGACTGGTCTCTTCCCCGTGCATGCACGCTGGTGTCCTCGTGGGTCCAGGAAGGGTGCGTAGAGGGACTCCCGTGCCGCCAGAGTTGTGAGCTGCCGGACCCGCAGTCCGGACGAGAACAGCACCCGTTACACGGCCGTCGGGCCAGGATGCCGGGCCGTCTAGTCCCTTCGCACGCCGGGGGCAACGAGAAGGATGCAGCCGCTGGAAGAAGCCGCCGCCGGACTGGAGAGGGGAGCGCGTGCGGCCGCCGGACTCCGCCCTTACCTGGACCCTTCCTTCCTGACCACTGCCCTTCCCTTCACGAACCCTGTCTGTCGTTTGGTCGTCCCGCCATAATACATGCATACATATATATAAAAACGCGCACACACACACACACACATATATATATATATATATTATGTAAGTATAAGTTGAAATTATCCATTTAACTATCCATAAACTTGCCAGGTATGTCGTTGCATAACCTGCTTTCTGGAATAACTCTTAGGTCCCTATTAAGCAAAGTTCCTATAAGATATCAACTTTAATGCCAGTTTTTACTCATCTTTGTTTTTTCTTGACCACGGATTATTAAACACTCCATCCACTCTGAAATTCAACTAGCCAACCGGTAGGTGGTTGGAGACGGTTGTCCTAATTTCTTGGCGTCTCCTCGGTTGCACCGCCCTGCACTTGGCTTGCCTCAACCCTACAGCGAAACCGCTAGTTATGGTTAACAATAGTCTTCGTCTGACAATCGCAATCAAGATAATGGAACACAGTGTGAGAAAAGCCTGTGGGGAAAAACAGCCCTACCACGGCCAAAGCCTTTCCCAAATTAAAAGCATTGGCCTTTAATCTGAGAAATATTGGATGGCTTTATAAGAAAGAGTGATGACTGAACATACATACCTGGAAATGTCAGGTGTGACCTTGCCTGTACTGAAATGCAGTTCGATAGAAGAAATACAAGCTTTATTGACAACATCTATGGAGTGATATCACAGAAAATAATTTGAACTTCAGTTTCCTACCTCAGTATGTAAAATTTGTTAATAGAAATGTACTTTAAATGGTAAACCAAGGGGCAGATGTATAGACGTAGTCATAGTGTTTTTATTTTTAACCTGGGATATAAAAAAAAAAAACATGCATATGTAAAATCTTTCGCTTTATATTGTTATTTCTTGGCTATATATTTTTTTCGATTTGTATAAAATCAAACATACATATGATTCTTTTTACAAAAAAACTAATTAATTGAATTAACAAAAAGTCACAGTAAAGACATTTATATTGTTACAAAAGATTTCTAATTCAAATAAATGCTGTTCTTTTGAACTTATTATTCATCACAAAATCCTGAAAAAAATGTATCATGGTTTCCACAAAAATATTATCAGCAGAATAATTTTCTGATGGATCAAGTGAAACTGAAGACTGAAAATTCAGCTTTGCATAACAGGAATAAATTACATTTTAAAATATATTCACAAACAGTTTAATTCAATAATATTTCACAATTTTAGTGTTTTTACTGTATTTTTGGTGCAACTTTGGTGAGCATAAGAGTCTTTACGTCATGAAATAACATATTGTAGATATATGAAATGTTTTTGCAGTAACTATTCAGTAAAGCGTGAATCATTTAGCTTGTGCCTGCCACATGTACTTGTGGTCCGCTCTAGTGTACACTAATTAGTTTAGTTGTACAACACTGAGAGCAAAGTGCAGAATGAAATCAGCGGCAGTTGTCTGACTGTGAGAATAGAGTCTGAGACCAGACAGCTTCACGCACAGTGGGTGTGTGTGTGTGTGTGTGTGTGTGTGTGTGTGTGTGTACGTTTGCAGGAGAAAGGATTTCAGTAGTATTGGTTGAATGCATGGCCATATGGAGACTGACTCCTCTTGGGCATCAGCGGGTACCAGGAGCCCCATCACCCTCTCTGTCTGTCTCTCTCCCTCACGCTGTCTCTCTCTCGCTGTCTGTCTCTCTGAGCTGGCACACTGGTAGCTCTGCTCCCTGGGATACTCAAGCCTTTCAAACATGAGTAATTGATGAATTGTATGCAATATGCAAATGTGAATGCATAAATCTCCTGACTGACAGCTTAATTTATGTGAGCCTTTAAGAATGCAGGATTAGATTTTAATTAAATATCTTCAAAGGCACCCTGACTCGTACATTTTTCTCTTGCCTCAGCTGCCGTCTTTGTTGTTGTTAAAACCGTTTTCCATTATAATTTTGGAAATCTGATTTTGTTTTCCCTCCTTGTCCTCCCCTCCGGCCACGGTCCAACTCTTGGCCTTTGCTTCTTCTCGGGCTAAATATTATTACAAAAGTTCTCGCTAAACGAGAAGATTAAAACAGTTCGATTCTGCGAACAAACTCGTAGGCCACGCCCACTCTGCAGAAAGGGGTGTGGTTTGAGTCACCTATCTCGGAACTTGCCCCGCCCCCATCTTTTCAGCCACATTGTCTCAGCGAGACAAGCAGGTGTCGCCTGTTCATGAATATTGAATAAGGCAGTTTAAAAGATGACAAGGGCACATTTTTACGAAGCCGGGAGAGAATAAAATGTGCTTAGTAACACAGTTTTCGCCGGTCCCCAGCAGAGAGTGATGCCGTCGCCGGGGATTTGAGCAGAGTGATTGGTTGCGACGAGCGCACTGACAGGGTTTTCTTCTCCGGCTTGTGGAACGTGCAGTAATGTGTGAATGACTTTTCACTGCCATCTGTTCCTCCAGCCCGATGGGATACGGGAAAGAGAGGAGAGTGTGTGTGTGATCGTATACTCGCTGCTCTTCACTGTCTGTCCTGGCTGTAGGGAACACACATGGACATCATGCCTGCGAGTGGGAAAGGGAGATGAAAAATATTCCCATATCAGGGAATTCTCAGAGGCTCCATTACAGTCAGATTGACTGAAGAACTGAGCGGTTCACAGGGTGCTGGTTCAATATACTGACAAGCAGCCTTCAATCGACCTGCATTACAACCGGTTAATGGAGACAAAGTCAGGACACTCTGATTAGGAGTCTTCATACGGTCTCTGCCTTTCTTAAAAATCCTGTTTTCACAGTAAGAACTCGAGAACTTGGCTATTGTCACCTCCACATTATTGGATACTTAGCAGCAGTTTGGAATTCTGTGATTTTATTTATTTATATTCATTTTATATATGCAATATTTTAAATTAAGGCTGCAACAACTAGTCTATACAATGTATAAAACTTTTGACCATTTTTATACATGAAACTAGGGCTGCACGATAAATCGCATGCGATATTTAACGCGCATAGTGAACAACGGCTCTGTGTAGTTAATGCTGCTCAATGTGAAAGCACGCAGGTGATGGAGATTTACCGCTGATTACAGAACCGGCTTTCTGACAAGATGCGCATTAAATATCGCATGCGATTTATCGTGCAGCCTTACATGAAACTTGCTAAATTGCAGTAAAATTGACCAATTATCTTTTTCGTTAAATGTTTTACGCAATACTCGTACAGCTACCATTCACGCATCATCACCAAAATACCTTTTAAAAATGATTTAAAAATTCAAAATTTGATTAATATTGGAGCCACAGTTTTTCTAATCAAAAATGATAATTGTGCATACCCAACTAACTGAATATTGCAGCTAATTCTCAACTTTTCTTGCACAACAAATATTTGAGTTTTGTTTAATTGTGTTCCTTTTACACATTAAGTGCATTTACATGTATAGCAAAATGTTGCTAACAATAAAAAAAGCTCATTATATAAGCCATAAGATGAAATATGAACCACTGTAAAATCATGTAACATTATATTTTTTTAATTTTTTGATGTCAAAACATGAGTAAGTGCAGCACAAGTGCTCAAATGGTCCAAAATGCTGATCAGGTTTTGTTCTAATTCTTTATGACCTTTATGCACTAAAAATATGGTTTAAAGCATTTTCATAACTACTGTATATAGATTATCATGATATTAGGCATAATTAGTGTTAGTGTAATGTAAAATTTTTGTTTTCTTTATCAGGAAATAAACTTTGGCCAATTGAATCAATTAATCCAAAATATGTATTAATGATCAAATAGGTCAATACTAAGTATCACTTTTTCAGTACTATATCCTTGTTCGTAGTAATCATACCAAGTCCCATATTTCCACACAATTAGAATTCCAGTACTCTTTCTGAAACATTGTGTTGAGTACATGATGGCTGTACCTTTCCGAAAGCGCTCTTGAAAATGAAAGGATGGGTTTTATATAAGGGAAGCACCTGTCACGAGTGAGGAAAGAACTCTAACAATACCCAGTCAAAGTGGAGCTAAATAAGAAAATAGCTTTAAGAGTCCCGCGGGAGTCAAGTGCCTGTTCACGCACAATCGCCTGACTGCAGACTTCTAACGACTCCAGCATGTTGGCTTTTTTTCTATCTTGTACTTCGGGCACGCCTCGATTAGGAACGCTCGAAAGGAGCAAGTGAGTCAGATGCTCCAAATGAGGAAAGAAAGAATTCTTCTTGTTCTATACTGATGTAGAGCTTTACAGGAAACGGTTTCCACCTCACTTTAAGCATGACCGGAAACGTCTGCTTAAGTTTTTTTTAACAGTCACTGATGTGCGATTTCAAATTAGTAGCTGACCGTCTTCAAAGGCGGGATCTTTTGACATTTTGCTGATTTTTCTTCCTGCACCACAATGACCCCACAGAATCATTTGCTGCCCCACCAGGCTGTTTTCTAATTTGCTTTCCTCAAAGGAAACGGAGTCGTGTTATCGGAACACTGAGGTAATTGATTGTTTTTCAAAGTGGCTTTTGTCAGAATGATGTAAAAACCAACTTTGAAACAGACTTAGGCCTTTGCACACAAATGTCTTCGTGGATTTTGTTTTAGTAACAGTAAGTTATAATAAGTTTCTTTCTCACCTATGGCCTAGCGGTTAGCACTACATGGTGTTCATGTGGGAGACACCGGTTCGAATCCGCCCTGTGTCATGTCTTGATCCCCCTCCACTTTCTCTGTCAATTAAATCAAACATTTTCTCAGAGAAACAAAACAAGACTAAAAGTAGTTTGTCGAACTCTCCCAGAATCAAAGACTCCATTAATTTTATCAGCACTAGAGAGGAATTGTGGTCTGGAAAACTGTGCTGATAGTTTTTTTTTTTTACAGTACAGTTAACTCCATCGACTGCTCTCCGCTTACAGGCACTACAACGGCTAAAGTGATTCATGTTGATTGCCTCGCTTTTCCACCACGCTCCACTGTTCATAGTTTTTTAATTGGATTAGTAATGTGATGGTCCAAAGTGATTCCCATTTGCCACAGATCATGACAAGCTTGTCAACAGATCAGCAAGTCAAACTGGGATATCTTGGGGCAGGAAAGGGAGGAAGGACAGTACGGTGCCTTATGGATGAAACTGGACGCTGAAGGGTTGTTTGAAGTTTACCATTGATCCATTTGGCTTCTAGTAGATTTTCTGTTTATTGGCATTGTTTGACTGCAGTATTGCTTCAGGTCTGAAATGTAAGTACTTAAAAATACACATAAGTGCACTACTAAGGTCTTCGAGAATGAAGATGGACCTGAGAGTGATGGAAGTGCAGTTTAGGCCAGGGGCTGAAATTTAATACCAAGTAACTCAAATATATATATAATTGAGTTTTATTATTTAAAAAAAATATATATATAAAAATGAAGTAAATAATAATGTGATATAATGAAAACATATTGAAGTATTTTTAAAAAAAATCAACTATTAGCATTCATGTTATCATTGCATTAAAGATTATTAAAATAAGTGGAAAATTACTTTTACTATTAAATTTCAATAAATAATTATTATTAATTTTAATTTATCTGAATAGTATGGAAGCCTGCTTTCACCACAAAAAAAATGTAAAAGGTAATTGGGACTTTTTCTCATAATTCAGACTTTTTTCCTTGCCATTTTCAGAAAAAAAGTCAGAATTGTTAGAAATGAACTCAAAATTCAGATAAAAAGTCAGAATTGCGAGATAGAATTGCATGATATAAAATTACTTTTTTTCTTGCAATTCTGAAAAGAGAAGTAAGAATTGTAAAAATTCTGACCTTTTTTAACAATTTTTTTATTTCATGGTTAAAAAAATTGTGAAAAAATCTTGCAAGTATTAATTTTTTATTTTTTATTTTATTTATTTTTTATTCTTCTGTGACAGAAACAGTCTTCCATAGCACTCCCCCAAGCAACTCCCCCAGAGTAACACTATTTTTCCCAACTTTGAAAACCTCAAATATGTTATAATGCTGGATAGTGTTGTTGGTGTGATATAAAATAAAATAAAATAAAATAAACATTTCCACAAATTTGCAATGAACAAAACTTAATTTTTTTAATGTTATGAACAAATTACATCAAAAGTAACCAATTTTATGTTCATGCTAACATTAATGTAACATTAATGTAAGTTGGTGCTGGTGATATTTAATTTGTTCTCCACAATCAATAGCAAACTTGCATTCAGGTTAGGCTTAAAAAGACATCACATAATGGATGTAAAACTGGTTGCAAATGCTGTTATGTGTTGACTTCAGTTTTCTACATCGGCTATATATGCACACATGCTGCCATGAATGACTAGTGAAATTTCTATGTAATACTACTACTCTCTGAAACTCCAGTGTAATACTATTAAGAACAAGCGGCTTGCTGTGACATTCTTCCTCTTGGCTTTACTATGATCGTGATAGTGGTGATTCTGCTTTGGTTTGTGTTTGTAAGCGCTGCAGTATTAATAGAATGGTGAAAAACACTTGCTGCTTGATGTACTTGGACATGATCCAATGATATGCAGCAGTTGAATTAGCATTTTGCTTTTCTGGCTTATTTTGCTCTGCCAGCACCCTTGCGCAGGGTTCGAACTGTCATGTACCTGTCTCTTTGATAGCCCGTCTCACAATGAAGTGCGGGAGATAAGTGTGTTTGTGTTTGTGTTTTGTTGAATAATTTGTCTAGCGTGTTGTACGTTTGCGGAACGGGATTCTAAAGCCGTGCTTGTTCACGTATCTATCATGACAGGGGATGATGTGTAACCGTATGTATGTTTGTTTGATGTGTGTGTAAAATAGTAACTTGCTTATGCTCTGAAACAATTTTCATTTTCATTGGTCTGTCAGAAGAGACTGAACTTTCCAGAAAATAACATTTGCAGCAAGTACTGTAACACTGATGATAAAGACAAAAAAAGCCTGTTTCTTAGAAATGTAGCCTTTGTATTCATGTAGGCTTCATAGTTACAAAAAAAACAAAAAAAAAACAGCTGTCAGTTTAACGCGTTAACTTAATTAATTAGTTATGAAAAATAACGCAATTAAAATATCTTTACAGTTAACGCACTGGCCCCGCCCCCAGACCGGACAGGAGACAGGAGTGCTCTTTATGTCCAAATAGCACGAGTGCAAATGGGATTTTATACGTTCAGTAAATAAGAAGTTAATATTGTGCTATATTTTTAAACAATATTGTGTTTTTGCTCAATTTTGTTAATGAAATTATTACCTATAAAGCCACCGCAGAACTGTTGTGCATCTGTGAGCAACACAGCGGTGTTTAGTTTCTGAATGAATCCTCGTTTTGAACGAATCATGTGAACCAATGATTCAAAAGCCCATTCATAGAAAGAGCCGTTTACTTAATTCCAGAATGAATCAGCCGTTTGATCGAATCGAATGAATGAATGACTCAAAGACATTTACTGCCACCTGCTGGCAGTTTTAGTTTCATTTCATTTATTAAAAAATAAATAAATAAACACAGAAACATTAAAGGGATAGTTCACCAATATAAATATAAAAAATTCTGTCGACTCACCCTTGTGTCGTTTCAAACATGAATGACTTGCTTTCTTTTGCGCAACATAAAATAAGGTATTTTGAAGACAAAGCTGTTTTGATTACCAGGGAAAAAATTACCGAGATGTTTCTCTAATTATCTTCTTTTATGTTCCATAGTTTATGTTAGGCCGTTGTAGTCTAAACGTTCATGTGTAATCAATTTTATGTTGAATCAAACTAAATATTTATTTCTAAAGCTACTATTTGTAATGTCTACTTGATACTTTCTCATTTAACACAATAATAGCTTTAAAGTGCCCCTATTATGGATTTTTGAAAATTACCTTTCATGCAGTGTTTAACACGGCTCTAAGTGAATGAAAACATCCTGCAAAGTTTTAAATCTGAAAGTGCACCGTGTATAAAGTTATTGTCTCTCAAAAGAAAGAGTCGACTCTGAATCATTGAAACGAGTCGTTTTTAAAACGAATCCCAAGCCGTTTCATGTTGAGGTCAACATGAAACATTAGCATATTTCCCGCCCACTAGTTGGTCTTTTCGCTTTGGTCTGAATGAAAATACAAATTCATTCTTTGCCACTAGGTGCCGCTTGTGGAGCGGTAAAAATAGCTGTTTCCCCAGTAATGCTGTACACAAAGCAGCACTGTGCTCACAAACGCTGCTTTTATTATGAAATGTAAATAAAATCGCCAATCGGACCAATCACCGCAGATTAGCATCACGCAAAGGAGGGGTTTGGAAAAATGAATCGTTGAGCGAATCGTTGGGAGTCGTTAAGCAAATAAGGTAAAAATAAATTCCATATTATAAGATATTGAAAGTGTTTTTTGACCTTGCATGCATGTCAACCTGTTGTTGGGGACTCCCAAAACCAAAATATGAACCTTTTATAACCCATAATAGGGGCACTTTAATAATCTTTTGTGGGTATTTTCACAGCCAAGTTTAGTTTGCAATTAATTGGATTAATTAATCGCAGCACCATGCAATTAATTAGATTAAACATTTTAATTGACTTACAGCCCTAAAAAAACACTAAATTTCAAGAAAATATTAAATTTAATGACTCTAAAATTGAAGGTGACTAGAAACGAATCAAATGAAAAGTAATGACATTTTTAGGGTAAAAGGGTTTTTATTAGCGTTTTTAGGGTAAAAGTTTTTTTCATACAAATATCATGAATTTCTATTAATAATAAATGTTAAGTTTTTAGGGAGTCACACAACATGGCATTGTACAACCAGAACTAACCTTTCCTTCTCATAAAAAAGTGAATTTTTATGTTGGTTGTATCACAAATTAAAAAAATAATAATATTACTACTTTTAAAAAAAGTGAAGATTTTATTGTTCAAAATAATTTTATAAGCATTTTTCAAAGGATAATTATACCATTTAACAATTTTTTTTTGTCTGGAATTTTGTCAAGAAGGCTTTATCAAAAATGTAGTAATTAAAAAAAGATTAAAAGGGCTATGTATTGTGGGCAATGTATCACAAGCATGTCATCATGTGTATTCAAGAATTGCTGTTTAATTGTTTAAAAAAAAACAATTTTTTTAATGAATGAGGGTCATGTCATTGACCCATAAGTAGCCTATATTTGGCGTTCACCAATCAAAATACATCTCTCAGTCATGTGTCCCTGTGACCTAATGTACACGTTCAAGCACAAATTTAGATGCAAATGTATCTGATGTCATATGAAACCCCTGTTGTGTTTTTTTTCTGTGCAGTTCTCGGCCCGGTCGTCCTCCCAAGCGTTCTCTCGGCGTGGTGATGCAGGACAGCTCTCGTCTGCTTCCTCACAGCGTTCACGGGCTGCTCTCTCCCAGTCTGCTCTCCCCGACAGGTAAGACCCCCCTCTCTCGCTCACCCACCTGCAAGATCTAAAAATACCAACCTCACCCATCAATGAACGACAGACGCCAGTGTGTAAAACCACATATATGAACATTTTGTCTCATTTATGCTTTATTTTTCTTTCTTCTGTGGAATCTGTATTTTTTGATCCGTGCTGTCTGTCTTTTTTCCCATCTCTTTCGCTCTCCTTTTCTCTCCTCCTCCCACTCTTCCACCTTCTGCAAATCAGCTCGTATTGATTTTCCCCCCTCTGTCCTTCACTGGCCACCACTGCGGCTCAAACAGAGGTTAAACTATTGGATTTCTGTTGCCTCTTTGCTTTTTTCCTGTGCGCGCATTTGCTTTCTCTCTCATCATCCCTCTTTCATCTTTCCTTCCTTTGGAATTCAATCTGTTTCAGAGGAATTGTTTTATCGCGTTTAGACCAAATCCCAAACCACTGGGCATCACCTGCGTGTTTGTTTGCGTATTTTTATTTGCGACTAAACCGCATGTGTCGTTTTGCGTCGTGCTCGGATACGTTAACGTCGTGTCTGCTCTTCTCTCCTCTTCTTGCCTTTTAGCTTCAGTTCTCTAAATTGCTGATGGTAGTGGCAATTTAGCTCTCACAATGGCCAGCGCGTGTATCGATCTGCGCAGCGCGGAGTAGCCGGAGCAGTCCGTTAGCCGGCCCCGTTGATTGATTTTAGATGACTCTGTTGTTATTTCTGCCAGCCGCTCCAGGGGGGAAGGAGCTCTTTAAAATGTGCGTCCACATTTCTCTCAATCCCTCTGCTCATCTCGCCGTCCCCAATGCCAACAAACGTCTGACTTCGATGCGATTTGAGAGCAATGCGAGTTAATAGGGACATTACGGGCCTCATTCATGAAACGTGAACATGAATTTCTGTGTGAATCGTTCGTAAAACCATTCTTACGTAACATGGAAAAAAAAAAAATTTTTCTTTGCAAAGGACTTGTTTTTATTTCTTTTTGATACACAGGTTATTTATTTATTTAATTTTTAAGTTTATTTAATTTAAATTGAACTTTAGCAGAGGTGGATTTACTGTCACATTTTTAACAATCATATTTCATGAAGACTATACACTACTACTGCTCATAAGTTTGGAATCATTCATTTATTTATTTATTTTTGTATTTTTTAAAGTCTTATGCTCACTACCCTGTTGAAAAAAACCAGCATATGCCGATTAGGTATGTTTTGAAGCTTGGCAGCTGGTTTGAGCTGGTTTAAGCTGGTCCTTAGTTGGTCTTAAGCTGGTCCTGAGCTGGTTATAAGCTGGTTATGAGCTGGTCCAACAGGGTAAAGCTGCATTTATTTGATCAAAAATACAATAAAAGCACTAATATTGTGAAATATTATTACAATTTAAAATAACCATTCATGTGATGCAAAGCTGAATTTTCACTAGCCATTTCTCCAGTCTTCAGTGTCACATGATCCTTCAGAAATAATTTCTTATTGTTATCTATGTTGTGCTACTTGTTATTCTTCTGGAAACCATGATACATTTTTCAGGATTTTATTTTAAGTTTTAGAAAGTTTTTTTTTTTTTAAGAAATTATTTGTTACATTATGAATGTCTTCACTTGCTGAATAAAAGTATTAGTTTTAAAAAATTAAATAGTAGAGTGATTTCTGAAGGATCATGACACTAAAGACTGGAGTAATGATGCTGAAAATAAAGCAATAAGCCCCAAGAAGCCATGTTTTACAGTGTATTTATAACAGCTAAGGGGCGTTGTTAGGCACGACGCGAATCGGTTAGTCCATATACGTAGTTAGGTTTCACAAAATAAAACAGAGCAAATAAAGTGTAATGATATTAAAGGGATAGTTCACCCAAAAATTAAAATTCTGTCATTAATTACTCACCCTCATGTCGTTCCAAACCCGTAAGACCTTCGTTCATCTTCGGAACACAATTTAAGATATTTTTGATTAAATCTGAGAGCTTTCAGACCCTCCCATAGACAACAAGGGTCCTTACACGATCAACACACAGGAAAGTACCAAGATGATTGACAAAGTAGTCCGTGTGACATCAGTGGTTCAACTGTAATGTTACGACGTTACGAGAATACTTTTTTTGCGCAAAGAAAACAAAAATAACGACTTTATTCCACATTTTCATCTCTACTGCGTCACTTGTGGACGCGTGTTCACGGCAGTACCATGACGCGAGCGTGTGGCGGCGCCGGCGCCGGCGCTGACCCAGATCCGGCGTGATGACGTTGAACACATACGTATGACGCTACTGGGCCGGTGCCGCCACACGCTTGCGTCATTGTACTGCTGTGAACGCGCGTCCGCAAGTGACGCTCTCAGATTTCGTCAAAAATATCTTAAATTGTGTTCCAAAGATTAATGAAGGTCTTACGGGTTTGGAACGACATGAGGGTGAGTAATTAATGACAGAATTTTCATTTTTGGGTGAACTATCCCTTTAATAAAAACAGTATTCTTCTACCAAACAATGTAGTTCATCAGAAACAGTTGTGGTTCCAACAAAGTGGCTGCCAAGCAACACACAAAGTAAACAAAGGTGTATGTGTTTAGAGTAATTTACAACAGCTTCGAACGCGGCTCAACCAATAAGAATCAAGGACCGGAACTATCCGTTTTATAATAGTAATTATATTTCACAGTATTACAGGTTTTACTGTATTTTTGATCAAATAAAAGCAGCCTTGTTGCATAATAGACTACATTTAAAAAATAAATAGTGTAACTTTTAAATATGTATTCCTTCCAGATGGTAATTACTGGTATCATTTACCCTTTTAAACATGTTAAATGAACTAAAGTGTTTATTTTGGACTCCATCTGGATGTGTTCCAAACCCCTCGGGTCTTTCTGCTGTAATTCCATGCATGAATCCATGCAGCGCTAAAAGAACTGACATCCACATGTATGTCAGGATGCCTCCGTCTATTTTCCCTGACAGCAGTATCAACATATTGTGAAACTTGAGGAGCTGAACTTATTCTGAATGTTTATAGCAAACAATCACTCCTTTCCACTTGCATTTCTTCAGCTACTTGCGTGTATTCCAGTAAGAACAGACAACACGCAGTAAAGTGATGAAGTCAAGCTGCTTAAATGTGTAAAAACAACTCTCGTAAATCATCTAAAAACCTTTACATAATACTTTTACATAGATGTACCACCTTTTCATGGAGGTACAGTATTAATTGTAATATAACACCTGAAAATATTAACTTGTAAATGGGCCACAATTATCAAAGATGACAAAATTTGTGATCTTTCACAGCAAATGACTGGATTTGTGACTTTTTAATGAGGTAAAAATGAATGTAATTAGGTAATTAGTATTGGTTGTAATATTAATTTAGAATGAATTCTAATTACAGTTGTCCTTATTATAGTCAGTAATTATACAAGTGTGTATTTATAATGAATTCATGATGTAATGAAATGAAATAACATTTTTTATTGGTAACACTTTAGTATAGGGACCAATTCTCACTATTAACTAGTTGCATATTAGCATGCCTATTATTAACATATTGGCTGTTTATTAGTACTTATAAAGCACATATTCTGCATGACCATATTCTACATTCCTAATCCTACCCAATACCTAAACTTAACAATTACATTACTTACTATTAACTATTAATAGTTGTAGTTAATGCTTTGTTAATATTGAGAATTGGACCTTAAAATAAAGTGTGACCTTTTTATTATATACTGTATATATATAATGTTATTTAATTGTTATTTAAATTATTTATTTGATTTGATTTTTTAATCTAAACTTAATAAAGAAACCGTTTTAAATGTGTGGCCATACATCTGTTCATCACATTAGTTTTTAGTAATACATTTGAGGCAGGGAAACTATTGTCACATTCTAGCAGCATTACTAACACATCAGCAGATTCTGATCAGACTTGTCATTTAATTATTAGCAGCAATTTGTGCTGTTATTTCCTGCTAACGCCATAATTAGGCAGAACAAAGTGGCGGCTCGACTGATACGGCACTCAGTGGAGGATATCAATGCTCACCCTCACCCTCAGAAAGAGGAAAAAAACAGCCAGAGAAAAGCGTCTCTGGAGAAATTAAGTGTTTTTCTCTTCTCTCGAAGCCCTCCGCTGTGTTTCCAGTCAGGACGGAGCGTCTGAATGCAGAAGGGGGGTGCTGGTAAACCAGGTGTTGTTGTGGGGTTTGTTTTTGCATTTGGTTTCCTGGATTGCTGTTGACAGAAACATTATAAGCCTGTGGCACTTGAGCGGAGGAGAGAGAGAACGAGAGCTTATGTACAACACTTATGTACAGGACATTAGAATAGCTTGTGTTGTTTGTGCTTCGGGCATGATACCTGAAACTGTGCGGCTTATTGAGAAAAGGGGTGCTATTACTTTTGAAAACGAATGATTTTCACCCGTGGACAATAAAAACCATCAAAATCTTTTAAGGAGGGACCCAAGCCATAACTAGAGGCCAGAATATCAGTTTAAGAGACTTATTGCTAGTTCAATATGAGTTAAGCTCAAGTAATTTCGACTCATCCCTTGTTTTCTTTATAAAAAAGCGAAAGAAAAAAAAAGGTTATGGTGGAGCACTTACAATGGAGGTCAGATTTAGAGCATTTAAAAGCAGAAATGTGAAGGTTATAATTTAATAATAGCACTCACATTTATTCTTCTATTAAAACTTGTGTATTATTTGAGCTGTAAAGTTGTAGTTGTCACTTTTATGACCTTTTTAGGGTTTTTGTTGGTATGTTGTTATGGCAATGAAGTTGTAAAATTGAATATAAATTCACTCAGAAAAGGTTAGGGAGTAATTCTATCATGCTAAAATCATGTATACTGTTAATGTCTTGTGGCTATTTTATTGAAACAGTGAGTATTGGAACGTTTCCTGGCCCCATTCAAGTTGAAAATAATGGTAACACTCTATTTTAAGGTGTCCTTGTTACACGTTACATGTACTTACTATTACAATAAATAATG